GAGAGAGAGAGATAGAGAGAGAGAGAGAGAGAAGAATTGATTAGTCTAAAACTAAGACAAGAAGAAGAAAACCACTTGGCTAGGAAAAATAACTCTCTGTTTTGTAACTAACCTGTTTTCTTTAACTTCAAATTGTGATTTTTGTTTTTCTTTGTTTTGTTTTTTTAAAGGACATTGCTGCACTGTATGGATACAGACCGGAATTTTACAGTCGCGGTATCAGTCGCTTTGATGTGCGTCAGGGACAGCTGGGTGTGTATATATTATTATATAGTGTATTTAGAAGTTCTTGTTTCTTTGAAATGTTGACCCTTTTTTTTAAAGTTAGGTTTTATACGGCACTCGCACCTGTGTACTAAGGTCATTCATATGAGCGCCAAGGGGTGGATGTCAACAGAGAAGTCCAAACGGGGAGTCAGACTTACTTTGCTCACCTCTCTTGCCTCAACTGCACAAAGTCTGCTTCGACTATCAAGGCGTCCGGGAAATAGCAGTTCACAAGAGAGTGACAAACATACACAAGAAGTAGAGGAAAGATTTCGAAAGTAAGGATGAGGAAAGAAAAGCAGCAGTTCACCCTATGTTGTTCCGGCACAGCATGAGCATGGCATTGATAAATCATCCCATTTACAATTCTACTGTGCATAAGAATTGTTAATACCCCCCCCCCTTTTGAGAATTATAGTTAAACAGGGTAAGATTGAAGAATACCGGACCAGCGGACTGAGTTTGCCTAGATCCTAGATCTAGATCTAGAATCTATGTCTCAACCTTAGGAATTCATAAATTTCCCGTTTTTAATATCTCTCTGAATGGAGAATCTCAGACCGGTAGATCTATTCATTAAAATTTTGTCAGAGGGGAGACCCCCCTGAACCCCCCTTCCCCCCTCCTCCACCCCACTTTCTCGCGCAATAATGTACGAGTGGTCCGGTATTCTTCAATCTTCCCTTAAACAGCAGCTTAAGGGTCATACACATTTCATGATACAGATTAACAGTTTCGCAAAATGTTGTCTCCGAAGATTGATAAAACAATGTACGTCATTAGTCACCCCAACACTTCACCCCTCCTTTATTTCTCTCTTCCTTCCACCCTCT